CTCAGGGGCACAGCACCTGCTTAGCAAGCATGAGGTCTTGGGTTTGATTCCCAGTACCAAAAACATTAAATAGCAACAAAGAAAGTAGATGTTGCAGGATAGCTCATGCAAGGAAAATGGTTGGTGTCCTTTCACATAGTGGGCAACTCCTCCAGCTCTTCTTTAAAATAATCTTTTCATGTTGTCATATGTGAACCTTGGCCATAGCTCTTGTTCCAGCCAAGTAACACACACAGAGTATATACTCTTGTTTGGGTCCTGTGCTGAGGAACTGCAAAAAGGAAAAAGATGTGGCCTCTCCCTGGGAACTTCTGAAACCTCAATCATATTTCTAGGAGTAAAGTCACTTCTTCAATGAGACAGTAGATGATTAGACTTTTGCTACAGTTTCTTTAAGAGTTAAGGTCATGTCTCTCAAAAGATCATCTAAGTTTAGTCAAATTGTTTGTTTGAGAAAATGGAGGAATTTGTATCTGAAGTTTATTTGTGAACGCTGAAAAAATTCTGCTCCAGTTAAGACAATGATCCTGAGAATCTTCAGCAGGTTTTTGAAACTAGCAGTTAATTAGTAGGATTCTCAAGCTGACTAACTATATATGCCATTGCCTGTGAACTAAGCAACTGCACTGAAGGTAGCAATGTATACTACTAGGGTCATACTTGGAATGCCTGTCATTCTGGTCTTCTAGATATGTACTGCTTATCACGTCGTACCAATCGCTGCCATACTGTTTCTCAAGTAAATGTCTTTAAAAAAAACAACAACTAATAAATGAAAACAAGAGAAAAGAAAAAACATGTCACAGGACTGTCCTGCTACAATGTTGTAGATGTTTAGATTTCTAAATTTCTGTGTAAAAATATGTAATTGTTTATTCCTTTTTAAAAATATTTTTAATTTTTTTTTCTTCACATTCTGTAGGGACTTAAAGTTTAACATATCAATATTTGATGGAAATTACCTGTTCCATGTTATGCCTAAGATGTTTGATATTCAGACAGATAGTGAGGTTAAGCTCAGCTGCATATGTTGTAGGGTAATAATAATAAGCTTCTCCTCTGGAGGGTTAACAACCTAAGTTTACAGACCAAAAATTAGAGAAAAAGGAGGTCTGCAAGAACAGCCAACATTTTGGCTCTAGCCTTTCAAGGTCAAGGAGGACTCAGGACATAGGAGAACCTGTACTGTAATATCCTGTAACTCAGTTGTGTCCCAAACTTTCTGATCAAGGAGATTATGGGGCCACAGAGGAAAGTGTGCCTAAGGAGAGTCACATGGAGAGAAAACATTCGCTTAGGTTTCACAGAGAGCAAATTGGCCAAGCAATGGCCATGACTCATCCACAAAGCTGACACTGACAAAGGATCTACAAAGTGCAGAACTGGGTTTCAGGATAAATCCTGAGGATACTTGACTGACTTTATCAGATAAAAAGTTATATTTCTTGTTACATAAGTCTTGCTTTATCTTGGTCTTAACCATCCAGCAGAAAGGTTAAAAACAAAAACAAAAACAAAAAAACAACAAAAACGAAGTATAAGGGGTGAAGCCATGTTGGTATACTGAGCTGTAAAGAGCTCAGGTCAACAACTTCTGATATTGCCAATCCTGAGGATGACCCACTACTATTATGGACTACTGGACAATATTGGAATATTTTGCTGAATTCACGTACCTACAATATTTAAGTGACAATGGAATACAACTTCTCTGACAAAACTAAAAAAAAAAGGGGATTCAAATGAAGGACCATTTTGTATCTGTACATTCAAAATAGTTAGGATAGATATACAACTACTTTCTCTTAATTCATTGAGAAGAAAGATTTGTACTAATAGTGTTTGGATAGGATATCATGTCTGCGACTTGTACTATGAATAAACACTATGAAGACAACAATATGCCATGTATTAATTATTGAAACTGCCCTACTAATTGGTTTTGAAACCATCTCATTGTATTTGTTTCTCAATAAAATTATTTAAAAAAGAAAAAAATTCTGTTCTAAAAGAAAAACTGTCATGGTTTTTTAAACTTATTTGAAATGTGAAAGCTAGGATCCTTCTCTTAGTACTTGATTGTAGTAGCCCTGAAACCACAGAATTCAAGGGAAACCAGGCACATGATCACTTTTCTGATAACTATTCCTCTTTATCTCACACATTGGACATTTCCTCTATCTTTTACGTATTATCTTTTTTATTAGAAATTTCCTTGCGTAATGGCCTCCTCACTATAGATGAGAAATCAGAAACAAAAAATATTTTCTCAAGTAAGCAACTACTTTGGTATTAAATGAAGTAATAGAAGCAGGTGGTACATACTTGGCTTCCTTTTCTGCCCACTGCACAATATTTGTGGCCTGCCTTCCATGTGCAAGGTACAGGGATGTGCTGCTATCAAATGACATCATCTGGGTATTGGTTTCAACTTCCTGATTTTATGTGCATGATGTTTTCCCCTGTTAATCACCTTGGTTCTTCTCATCTACCCACATTATCATGTGACCCTTATGTGCTAATACACATAGCAGATATTGAATTGCAGGGTTAGTGGGAAGTATGCCATTCACTTGATTGATTGCTTGTGACTTACAGCCATGGTTCCTCCAGCTCACTTAAAACTTTGTGTTGGAATAAATGGATCAGTGTGTGTCATGGCTTGGGGTTTTTGCAAGCTCAACAATATAGTACAGGGCACATTTTATAATAGTATTTTATAATGAATCACCCAAGAGTCACATACTACAAGTGTAGGAAACCTATTCACACACTAAATACTAAAGAATCCAGCTGAGGGCCTAGAGCTCATAATAATGCCTCCCAAAAGTCCAACTGGAGGCCTAGAGCTGACAACAAAGTCCCATGTAGGCCTGCTTCATGGATCTGTGCTGGAAATGCCTAAAGGTCATATGAAGTCTATGTCAGTGAGATGAAGGATCTTTCTGAGCAAGCTGAGGAATCTGAACTGGATCTGGGAAGCAATGCTCAAGGTAAGCACCAGAACTCCCCTAAAAGTGCCACAGCCGTCCTCAGCAACAGTGAGGTCCCAAGCTCCTCCAGCGATGAGGAAAGCTGAGTTCCCATCAGGAAAGCCAATGTGACAAGCTTCTTTATGAGGCTGAGCAGTGCAACATCTTCCCCTCTGGATCCAGGAATCAGTGTTCATGATGAGGACCCAAACTGCTCTAAAGTTCATTGGGAAAGCCAACATGACAAGGTCCTCCAGCAGAACAGCCCAAGAGAACTAGCAGCTTCCCATAGCTCCAACAGCATCTCCACATGGCATCCCTAACAGTGTTTTTTGGCAGCTTCTCCTGTTCTGCCTTTGTACTGCTGGCAACAATCCTCAGGCGGGCCTCCCGCACCCAGCCCCACACTGGGTTTAATTCAGTTGGGTGTAATAAGTCGACCACCTGTTAGAAATGTACTACAGAATGAATTCTGTGAGGTTAAATCTATAGAAGTGAAGAATAGTGACTTGTACCATTGAATGGTGGCAGTTGGTGGCAAACAGAAAGTTCAGGTATGTGCTGTACTTGGAAAATAAGAAACTGAAAACAAAATAAGTGGCTCATACATAGGGACTTTATGACTTACCCAAATCAGAACATTTTTGAGGATGAATAGTGTGGACTGTAGCTATAAACCAGGACTGCCTCTGGTAAGTCAGAACAGAACTAGAGTAATTTGAAAAGAGAGAAAACAAACATAACTATAGCAAAAACCTAGGGAGTTCAGGAGGCCCGATGAGGTTTATAGGATTGCCCAGACAGAGATGTGATCTCCTTATATAATTGTGGTCCTGAAACTTAAACTGATGTTCGTGGTTAAGGGACAAAGTAATCAAGTTCCAAGTCTGGCTATGTAGATGAATCCCCGCGTGCTCTAAAGCCATTGTGTTTTCTCTGCACCATGTTGGTATCTCAGGGCTAGTGTGGGTATGAATAACTAATTCCATGCTTCTGTCAAGCAGGGAGGGTTTGGATAAGAAAACCTTCTCTGCATCCAGAGTTTCTACTTTCTTCCAATAACAAGGGAATCAGAAATTTTATCTCCACGCCAGATTCAGCAGAAATTCCAGGGCAATTCACAATTTCCCTAACTATTTAGAGTTACTGGCTTGGAATTATTTCAACTGTCAGTGAACATAGTTTGCAAGGCTGTAAGGGATTCTATCTTCTGAAAGTTCTGGCTGGATGCATAATGCACAGACATAAAACAGATTAATAGCACAGAAGAATACACATTTTTTTTCAAGTTTATATGGTACAGAAGCTCTTATAAGGAAATGAAGACCCAAAAACACCTCTTTCATCTGGGAATTTCATCTTGCTTTGAAGAAACAAAATGAAGGTCAGAATAATCTTGAACCTGCTGTTTTTAAAAGATGCTTTCTTTTAAAAACAGTATGCCAGAACTCTATATTTTAGAATGGCATATTCTTAACTCCTTCAAGGTTATTAAATGCCTGGGCTGTACGTGGCAGTTAACAGAATGCGTTTTTCATCTAACATTTGCAAAGTACGCAATGCGTTCAGTTAAGGTGTATTGACTGTCTGCTACCTTATTTAATTGTATGTTCTCCCATGCTAGGAAGCTAACCAACTCACTCAAGGTGACAGCTGAACTTGGGTTTGGTGAGGAGCTAACGACCTGGGCTTTCTTCTTGTGCTGCAAACTGGTACATGTAGACTCATCATCCGGTACGTTGGGACAGGTCTATTGTTGCCCTTTTTTGGCAGGCCTTCGACAGCCACATTCCTTTCGCTAAGATATTGCATCACCAGAGGTTGGCAGAGAAAACAAGAAGCGAGTAACCCTGAAGGCGACCGGATCCCTGACACAAGCTCCCCTTCCTGCACACTCTTGCAGCTGCAAGGGCAGCCTGCGGCCCTTACTCAAAATGGCGAGATCAGCGTCAGCGGCCTCCTGCCCTTCTCCATCATGGCGACTACGGGCGCGCCTCCCCGGGTGCTGGAGTCATGTGACCCACACAATGGTCAGGAGTTCATCCGAGGCGTCCGGGCAACGCCGAGTGGGAGCTATGACGGCTGCCGCGGGTTCGGCGGGCCGCACCTCAGTGCCCCTGCTGCTGTGCGCGCTGCTGGCGACCTGCGGCGCCTACGTGCTGGACGACTCTGACGGGCTGGGCCGGGAGTTTGACGGCGTCGGAGCGGTCAGCGGCGGCGGGGTGAGCGGCGGGGATGCTCGGGGACTTCGGGGCGCCGCGGCCCGGCCCGTGCAGCCCCGTAGGTCCCGCGGTGGCGCTGCCCGCGCTCGGACGCCCTTGGGCCAGGCCGGCTTCCCGGGCGCCTGGAGCCCTCAGCCGGGGACCCACGCGTGCCCGAGAGGGCGCCGAAGCCAGGGCCCGGCAGGTGCGGCTGGGAAGTGCCCCGCGGCCCCGGGGAGCCGCCGAGGGGACAGTCTGGGTAGTCCGGGGCGTGCCCTCTTGGGGGCAGGGTTGTCCTGGGGTGCGGGGTGGGGGGCAGTGACTTAGCCGGAGGGGCTCCCTGTGACTTCCTGACTGTGGCTTCCTAGTGGATGGATTGGGCCCGCACTTTCAGGGTGCTTGAGGGCCGGCCAGGTGCTCACAGGTAGACTCAGCCGCCCCAATTCTGTTTCTGGAGCTGGCTGGAAATCTGCGTTTTAACAGATACCCTGCTCAGCCCGGATACTGGATATCGGAGAGCTCCTTAACCATTTCTGGAGCAGAAGCTTTTAAAATTAATTAAAAAAAATTTTTTTTAAGAGTAGTTTTGGATTTACAGAAAGGCTACAGAGACAATGCCAGTTTCCTTTACGATTAAAATTCAGTATTAGAATGGTTCTGTTTGTCACAATGCAATATAGGTGCGTCATTTTGAACTAAAGTTCCTACTTGTAGATTTCCTTAGTTTTACTGGATGTCTCTTTGCAGTTCTTGGATTCCCACCAGGATACCACAGTATGTTCAGCTGTGTGTCCTTGTGAATGGGCCGCTTTCCTAGTGGCCCAATCATTCCTGGGCCCTAACAGCCTTTGCTGTACTCCACAGTCTTTGTAACCGTTGTAACTTTCTTTTGCCTCTTTTTTTTTTAAATTTTTTTTTAAATTTTTATTTATTTGAGAGAGAGAGAGAGAGAGAGAGAGAGAGAGAGAGAGAGAGAGAGAGAGTGGTGTGTGTGTGTGGCCAGCTCAGCCCACCAGGGGGCGAGGCTGGCTGGCATGTGGTGCTGGGGGATTGAACCGCGGTCCCCGATGCTTTGCTAAGCTTGTTCTAAGTAGGTGCTTTAGACCACTGAGCCATCTCTCCAGCCCCATCTTTTGCCTCTTTTTGTTTGTAATTTTTGGACCAGTGGAGTCTTTGTTGCTAGGTCTTTTTTTTGGACGGGAGAGATTTTTTTTTTTTTTTTTTGCTTTGTATTCCAAATCACATCTAGAGATAGTTTGCTTTGACAGTAGTGAAGATGAACTCTTACACTAATGCTTTTGGTAGGTTGAGTCGTACAGAACGTGTGTCTTTAAATTCAGCTCAGATCAAGGTTGAAAGTTCACTTGCGCATGGTCCATTCAGCAGGTAGCCAGGTCTTGGCTGTGACCTTTCTGTGAGGGCTAAAGAGCTCACCCTTGGGGCCAGCGAGATAACTCACTGAACTAAAGCACCAGCTTAGGCAAGCTTAGGCAAGCTCAGGGACCTGATTCCATTACCACACCACATGCCCTGCCAGTCCTGCTTCCAGGGCATAGTGAGCCACTGAGACCAAGCATGGTGGTGCACACCCGTCATCCTAGCGCTGGGGAAGCTGAAAGCAAGGAGGCTCACTATGAGTTCCAGCTGCCTAGTGAGACACTACAACAACCAAATACATTAAAAAACAAACAAACAAAAAACAACAAAAAAACCTCTCCCTGTACTCTGTCATCTTCATACTGACATTTTTATTTTCTAATTTCAAATGTCACCTACAGTCCTGGGCGATATTTCAGGGGTAACCTGTGGGCTAATGAGCCACATTAGTGGGCCTTTTTTTTTTTTCTACTGTCATTTTTATATTTGGTCTAAAACTGAAAGAACCAGTATTTCATAAGGTAAGGTCCTGCTCTCTCTTTTTCATACCTTTACAAGTGATTTTTAAATCTAGTATATAAACTTCCTGAAAATGGAAATTTTTTTTAGCTTACCTTGAAATTATAATGAGAAGAGTAATTTCATAATTTAGAATTGGATGCTCCTAGGTAATCTGATAAGATATCTACAATTATTAATGTGCCTAACGTAGTACATTACTCATTTTAGAAGCTGAATCAACAGTAAAATGGTGTGTGGGTGAGATAGCTTGTGTACTAAAGCGCCGGCTTAGGTAAGCTTAGGTAAGCTCAGGGACTGTGGTTTGATCCCCCTGCTACGTGCCATGCCAGCCCTGTGCCCAGGATGCGCTGAGCCGGCCACAGTCCAGGAGTAGTGATGCACACCTGTAATCCCAGTGCTGGGGAGGCTGAGACAGGAGGATCACTATGAGTCTGAGCTGCTAGTGAAATGCATACAATAATAATAATAAAATAAAATGGTTACAGCATTGTAATTAGTTTTTAATTTTTATTTTTTTAAAGAATACAAAATAGTAATAACAAAGCATCAGAAAATGATACACAATTTCACTAAACAAAGTAATAGAAATTCAACAATGGTTGTTGCATTGCATGATTTTATCTTCAGAGTAATTGTTTAGGTTGCCAGATATAAACATATGAAATTAATTTAAAAAACATAACAGAACAACAGCAAAGTTATAAGAAATTAAACAGAGGGCTGGGGAGATAGCTCAGCAGGCATAAATGCCTTCCTGGCAAGCTCAAGGTCCTGAGTTCAATCCCTAGTACTGAGAAAAAAAAATAAAAGAAATTAAAAAGAAAAATATAATATGAATAAAAAGAAAAATATTGAAGCATTAACTACTCTTTTCAAAAGACCAGCAGAAATTAGCAGTACAATTATCCAAACTATCCTGCACATATACATAAATATATTTTCCCTCCTTTTCTCCTTTACCTCAACCCAGTTTTTGTTTCCCATGGAAGAGATTTTTTCCCTTTCACAGTATCTACTGTACTTTTCAGATCATATTTACTCTTCCAGGTTCTCACACTAGTGAGACAACATTGTTGTTGTTGTTGTTTTGTGGAGGTCTTTATCCCTAGCACAGTGTGTGGCAGTGAGGACTTCGAATGGTCTCATTTCATTTTCATGTCAGAGTGCGGTCATTTTGGCCTAGCAATTCAGAATATGAGCTCAGGAAGGTTGTCTAGCTCGTTCTGAGATCTGCCACTCACCGTATTGTCTCAGCATGTTAGTTAATCTCTCTTTGATCCAGTTTTCTTCCCTGATGATTAAACCCTTGGCAACGTTGGCAATTTGAACCTAAGGGCATCTAATTTTTTTCTAGGATGAGGGACACGCTACTCTTTCAGTTCAAAATCTTCTTCTTGTTTTTTTTTTCCCCTTTATAAGGCCCTCCCCCGACAACAGATTTTTGTTCAGTTACTTATTTTGTGATTTTTTTTTTTTCAAGCAGCCATCTGTCTGTCATGGTCTAGGTATGACTTGTTATAGGCCCTGCATTTTCTGTAGGTGAAAACTAACGCTGTTTTTAGTAAAGCTGCTTAAAATAGTTTCTTGCAAGATGCAGAGGGGAAAAGTTATCTTGAGTTTCAGCCACTCATCCTAACTGATCAAAGATCTTAAGGTAGGAAATTTAAATGTCAAAATCAGTTTGTAGTTGGAAGGTTCAATTGCCTTTAGCAATCCTAACCAATGCCCAACTATTATCTTAACGGAATAGATATTTATATGGTGGAAAATACCCAGCTCTAGCCAAGCAGTGATTGGCAAAGCTAAGGAGGGCAAACCAATCACCTGTGAAATGACTTTACACAACTTCATCTTGCCCAAGAACTGGCTAGGTAGGAGTATCCGGGTATTATGCATTAATTATAGATACATATTCATTTTGGGATTTATTTTATTCATACTTTTGGAAAATCTTTTTTCAGGCCACCTCCCGACTTCTAGTAAATTACCCAGAGCCCTATCGTTCTGAAATACTGGATTATCTCTTTAAGGTAATGAGAAAATAATTATTTAATGGTTTATTAATATTTTGGAATGATATAAACTTTGGCCATAGTATTTATCAGCTTCACAATTTTAGCTTTCCAAAGGAATGGCAAATTACTTTTGGAATAAGATGCTTTTTGAAGTTTGACTTCTATTTTCTGATACGTAAATCTAAAGGCAGTTATTAGTGATGAATTTGAGGTTTTGTATCATGAAACTGTTTTAATGTTGTTACTTTTTCCTATAGCCGAGATGAAGCACAGTGTTAATAATAATTTTTTTTTTTCACAGCCAAACTTTGGTGCTTCTTTGCAGATTCTAAAAGTTGAAATAGGTGGTGACGGGCAGACAACAGGTAGGGGTATTTGGAGAAATAGATTGTTTTCCCTCCAATATTTTAATTTCTATTTAAAATTGTGGGCTATGATTTTAAAATGTAAGTAATATTAGCTTATCTGAATTTGATTGTTGTTAGTACATTGTTCTTTTTTTCTCTGTCATCTGTAATTATTTTATTTTATTTTATTTTATTTTTGTATTTTAGGAAAG